CACTCCCATAAAACTTCCCAGTTAAACGAACTGTAGTGCCTGGGAAGTAAGATGCAAGAAATCTCAACTCAGTTGAAATTATTCACTTTTGAAGGTTAGTCTCTTCTCTAGTTTTATGGTAGGCTTTGTAAGTGTAATTTGTTTTCATTAGTTTCATTTTGATATTTAATACTTCCAGATAAACCCAAGTGTAAGGAGGTGGTCAATTGAGTATCAGGAACAATACCAGGAATGCGTATACTTTGCTTTGCTCTGTTCCTAGTAAAAGTACTACCTCATCAACCGATCAGTTCGGAAACTACAACCACTCGCCACATGAGCACTCGCGTTTTCCCACGCTTCAGACAGTTTGTTGTTTTACTGTGGCTCCACGCAGAACCTTTTCTACGCTGGTAGTACTCGTTAAAATGATGCTTTTTCTTGACTCTCTGTAGAGAATTTCTCTCCTTTTTATTCGTTGAGTGACAGTTGGGGAGGAGGGCAGGGATTCGAGACACATTATATGGCAAAGGGAGTACGTTTCTGAAGAAACTGTGATGTTGCGTCGGTGGTTTGAGGGAGGGGGGGAGGGGGGGAAAGAATTCCAAGATAATTTGGTTATAACAGCTCAGTTGATATTATAAGCTGGCCACTGGAAAGAGCTTCTAAAACTGACTTTTCGAGCGTTGGCCCTTCGTCAGAGCGAATCATTACATAGTGTTCTGTACGTAGAATATTATATCTAGTATTCGTCTTATAGGAGAGCAGATACGTAGGGGAAAACGAAGTGCGGAAGGAAAAATGAAATTATAGACATTTTTCTCATTGGTTGGTTTTATGGATCATTGTTTCTGTTATATTACCTTCTCTCACACAGTCAACGCCATTTCCAAAATACCCATCGTCGCACTGGCAACAGAAACCAGGCGCGATATTTGTACATGTAGCATTTGGATGGCATCGGGCTACACCGTCTTCGCATTCATCGATATCTTTAAGAAACAAACGCGAAATATATCCATAACTGACTTATTATAATATATAACTAAGCAGCTTCAAACTAACAGTCCGGGCCATATCCATTTCTGGATACTTGATGACGTCACCAACATGGATGTCGTAGTGGGACATCGAGGAAACTCACTCATTACTTTATTCGAGCCCTAGCGACTTAGTTCCTTGCCCATATGCCATGAAACCTTGCAAAATTACAGAAGACAAGCAATTAAACACAACAAGCAAAGAACTGATGGTGGTCGCGATGACGAGAAGGAAAAATTCAGATGAAAAGTCGGGTGGAGGTCCATGTTGCGAAGGGCTCGATCGAGGAATAACCTCTATTTAGTTGAGGTTTTCAGGTATGCAACATTTTTTTTGATTCCTAAAAAAAATCTTTCAAAAAACCAGAATAAATTTGCTTCCAATTTGTCAAAATTCCAATCGAGTGCACGAGGTTTTTGCTCGAGTGCACGAATGTTGAAAGTCTGTTAGTGTGCAAACTACCAGACGGATTCCTTTGTTCAGATCCATCGGAGTATCGTGTAAACCATAAATTTTAACCACGCGTTGTGGCCGACCAATTTAAAGTAAAAGGACAATTATTTATCGGACCTTTATAATCCTACATTGTGAATTTCAGATCAAGCCAACAGCATGGATGAACACATTTAGTATCTCGAGACACTTTGTCGTCTTTGTGGCACAAATCTGCCACGGACCTGGGTCAGTGCTACAAACAAAGAATCTTTTAAATCGGAGCTCTGGATGAAATTTCGAATCAATGTCGATCTTGACATCAGAGAGATTCATTCAGCCAAGGCGAATGCACACTAAAAAATAATTTCAGGAAACCACGGATCTAACACATAAATGTGATTATCCAGCGAGTAAGTTCTCCTTCGGGCAAACATAAAACAAAGAGGTATTCGTTCACTGAGCTCTCACATCTTTAGGTATCGTATCCGGGAAATGTGCGATAAGAGCGGCATGAAGATGAAAATAAAGAAATCACATCGGTGGAAAGCCTTGCCGAAGTGTCTCTATTACAGCATTCCGGAAACAAAGGTTAGAGTTTAACTACACGAACTGATGAGAGTGAAATTTTCGTCTAAAACCACAAGGGACTTGTCTGTAATTGTGAAACTCGTTTAGAAACACCGCTCGTGCTTTCACATTTTGCAGTGATTACCTAAACAAACTTTCTATACAGGGTGTTCAAATCAAAAGGTAATTGTAAAGGACATATTATTGCTGACTAAAAGCTGTAGGACCGAATTTGTAGTGTTCTGAGACCTAGATTCTCCCGCGAATCGATCGATAGCGCGCAAAATACCTTGTATGAATCTCTTGCAATGAATTCGATCATGTGTATTCGTCTTAATATAGATTGTGACTACTTGATTTTATTTTATCCCACTCATGTATTTATTGGCGTTTATTTTCCAGGTATCATAATTTCAAGATCAAAGCTCCACGTGGAACACCGCTTGTTATTCAAAGTGAAGACGACGACACGTATAACTCGCATGCACTGGCTTGTCTTCTTCCACGAGAAATGGAACGCATTCCAGAGGCTCTACGAGAAGTCCAGATTTTCAGCAAATCGCAGAGAAAGACATACACTTTAGGAGATGTCAAAGGGCAGCAGATCGGCACGGTTCAGCACTTTCTAAACATACAGCTGCATGCTTTGCTTCGATGTTGCAAAATAACCAGGAATTGAAGGGTAAGTTACTGTTTTCTTGCTTTACTGTTACTTTTTCGTAAAGGCTTGATGGACTGAAATTGATAATGTCTATTTAAAAATCGGAAAGAAGCAAGATATTGTCTTTCCTCGACCTATACTGGAGAGAAATGAAATTGTCCCGATTCCGCGATCTCACACCTCACTCGTCCCAATTGTTATCAGTGCGCGTTATTTGGTTCAACCTTATTTAATTGGTTTTCTTGTAACCCAAAATAGGGAAATCAACGGAGAACGGACAGTAACATCGAGGCCAAGCTCTACCCAGAAGTTCTCCAGATACAAACAGGCTGGCGGAGGAGCTTTTATTCCTGTGACGCTCTTGGTGGAAGGACCACAGCGTTACAAAGAATTTGTGCTAGAAAGAATCCGCTTTACTCTTCCAGAATGCGAGAATGTCGAGGACATGCATGTTGAATGTTTGAAATAAACGAATATTTTTAATGGTATCTTACGTCCAGTCCTTCTTAGCGAATTTTGTTTCAGCTTACTACCGCATTACAACATGGCCGCCACAAAAAAAAAAACAAAACAAAAAACCAGCTTCTTCTTGTTTCCAGCACCTCTCGGCCAAATTTGCTTTGTTTTGGTTTTGATCTCACCCAATCACAAAGCTCGAAACCGATATCCAGAAATGGTTATGTCCCGAACTGACTAATGCAATAAAAACACATATACTGACGTAACATGATTAAAGAGGGTAGGTTTCTAAAGAAAATATGGTGCTACGTCAGTGGGAGAGTATAGCAGGTAATTTAGTGTTAGCAACTGACTTGAAAACGTAAATTGGCCACCGTAAAGAGTAAAAAGACTGACGTTTCGAGCGATTGCATGATGTAACAGCTAAATACTAGACATATTGCGCGTTCACCTGTTATTCCCTCAGAATTCTCATCAGCAGACAAGATGGAACTACCAACAGCGTAAAACAGCGAAACTGCATTCTTTCCACCACAGAAATCCTCCTCATTGAAAACACATCGTACGTTGCAAGACGAGGTTGGCAATTTCTGCAGCACCAAAAACTCTTTATCGCCCATGCAGGCACACTCGTCGCCGTTATGGAGCGCCGCATACTTTTGGTTTCTCTGGTGGCAGAGAATCATGCATGACCGAATACCCACTCCCCGCCATATTTGACTCGCGTTTCGGGAAGAAAGATACCCATGTATTTTGTAACATCCTTGGAAATCTGAAAGTAGGAAGGATTTACAAAGTTATCCAGCAATGTTAATAGAGAAAATAGCACTTAAAAAGAAAAAGAAAAGAAAAAAAAAAGATTTACATACTTCAGAGATCAAGCATCTCTTTTAGCAAAGAACAAAATTTACAACACAGCTAAGATTAAGAAGGAGATCCTTCTCTGTTTTTAAGATTTGAAAGTCGATTTCCTGTACTGCTACAGTTAAAACTGGTAAGATGTTTGCTCATATCTAAGATGTCTGTGCTTGATACTTACACTGGTCAGGTATGAAAAAGCGCGATATTTCCGAGTTTCTATGAACGTAACTATCCCCTGATTCCACATTCAAGGTTCCCATGTTTTTCCAACCAATTTTGAATATCCATTGTCCTGTATGCTGTACATTGGACTTTTCAGACAAGAATTTGACTTCTTTGGTTCCTGAACCGGGCAATAGGTATGTCCTAACAAATATAAGTAGAAGATACATGGACAAGTATAGAAAATAAGGCAGAAACAATTATTTAAAAGATTCGGCCTCCTCTTTCTCTTGAGAGTTACGAACAACAGTCAGATCGAATTTCCATTACAGCCATCGTTTGAACCCAGGACTTAGAAATGATCTTAAAGTCTGATCGTAAGGATATATACATGCATGCATACATACCTACCTACCTACCTACCTACATACACACATACATACATACATACATACATACAACTTTATGATAAATTCTGGATAAAAGTTTTTCTAGAATTTATAGACAAAAAAGTGTAGCTTTGTAGCTAATATCTCCAGCAGCGGTACTGACAAAGGCCAGTGATTAACTGGTTTTCAGGGGAGTGTTTAACGTCATTTCATGGAAACTGATTGGGCAATTTAAAGCGATTTGTTGGATTCAAGATTCCAAAAGTGTTATTAACGATTGGTTGGTTTTTTTTTTCGGTTTCTGTACAACGTGGTGTTGCTTCTTCAGTTTCTTTGGTTCCCATAATTTCAATACTCAGATACAATCTCAAGCTACATCAATGGTTTAGAAGTAAATCCAAATTTCCAGCTGTTAGCCATGACTGATAATTTTTTGCGTTTTGTCTGTACCTCAGGTGGTCCCCCGCGCTGAAGCCGACTTGTGCATCAAAATATCTTTTGCCCTGATATCGTACATGATAGCCCTTAATCCACTGTAAGCCATCGTCTTTGTAGTTAAACACACTGAACGTATTTATCTCGTCCGTTATGAGAACAACTTGGAAAGTGTTCGTCTGAAAAATTAGAGGACAATACCAAGTGTTAACCCTGAAACCTTAAGAGTAACCGGCATCTTATTTCTCCATGCGGCACCATCCTTGAATTAAATAAAAAGGTTATGAGAATAATGGAAATGATCACCAATTCAAGAAGTTCCTGAGGCAGGGCGTGAAATTAACTTTTTTTTCTGATAGCCACTTGGCTCCTAAATTCTTCAAAGTGGTAGCCAATTCAAAAAAAGTTGGTCGCCATTTTCAAAGACAAACAAAATCTTTCTTTACGCTGTCAGCGATCTAGATAGACCCTCCAAAATTAAGTTAGGGAAGAGATCTTTAACGTGCTACAAAGTGGACACTAGGATGGATGATAAACATCGTTCAGGCTCATCTAAATCCAAGATGGCGTCTAGTTATCGATCGAGATGCATGTGCTACGTTTTAGAAACAAACTTAATGAGGAAGTTTGCCGCGGATTTATCTTTGCAAATCTTTTTAATTCACTATATCTCTTGGTAAGGTTATGATGAAACGTTCTAGTCGCCAACTTGGCGACTAACTTTCAGGATTTGGTCGCCAAAGTGAAAAATTTAGTCGCATTGGCGCCTGTATTAGGCGCAATTTCACGCCCTGGAGTGTCAAACAAATTCTCCTTCTCAGTATCATGGGAAAATGTAAGGAAAAGAGTGAGGAGAATATAAATCTATCAGGGTGGATGTTAGAGTGTGAAGGGTTAAGAAAATAAACAAAGAAGCAAACACGGTTTAGTTTGGCTTCTTAAAAGCAATTTTTTTTTTTCAGTTCGCGCCCGACTTATTTTTTCTTTAACCAAATCGCTCTAATCCTTAATACAGACTGCTGGCAAATCTTCGTAGACCTAGCTTTTGAATCAACAAATTATCATAAAGCTGCTTTTACCTGGTTGGGAAGTTTTCCATGTGCGTGACGGTGTACAACATCCTTCCATGTAGATATAACGACACCTTTAGCTATGAATTCCTTCTCCTTGATAAAAGTAGATCGAACATGGTCTGTTGCCTTTTTTAAAATAGTTTCATTCCTAGTCTCTCTCAAAAACACTGCACTGGACTTTGCTAGAGCCACAGGTGCATAGAACACTGCAATGGATGGCGCAGAAGGCGGAAATGGGTATCTCCTATGTCGTTCCTCGGGGAAAGTGTGTTTTCCCAGGGTGATAACTCCATCGGTGTATACCTGATGAAATGGATACACAGTGACCTGAGTTATCTTAAACCCCTTAACTCCCACAGGTGACTTATTCAACGCGCCAGGGTTTTCTCCTATCACTAGTTAAACATTATCAAGTAGATGAGCGGCGAAAAGAAATTTAAGGGTGTTCTTTGGCGCGCAAAGAAAGTCCTGACCGATAGTCCGGGCTCGTTGATTTTCCAATCGGCTGATGGATTTGATTTTATTCATCACTTATCCTAAGGGTATGTTACAAGTTCTCAGTCTTTTGTCTGCAGATGAGGAAAGGGCAGTAGAAAGAACTTTTGGGCGAGTGGAAAATTGTACCTACTCGCACGAGGGTAAAGCTGAAAAATCAGTTTTCTTGCCAAATTCTTTTACTTACTCTAAAGGAAAAATGTCAGAGCTAGACGTGGAAGTCCTTAATCGAATTTTGGCGGTAGAGAATAAAGAATCATAGAACTGGGAGAGGTAAAGGTAATTATATGTAGCTTATACCATTACGATGCGCTAACTAGATTGAGCTTTTGATAGCTACTCAGTGGCTTACCTAGAATTAGGAAATAATTAGCTTTAATTTGAATACATTCATCTAAAACATTTTTAACTCGCTCAGCTTGTTCTAAAGGATGCGTGGATTGTGAAAGAGAAACAATGCTACAATTTATAAATTTTGTTGAATGTAAAGCATTTAAGAGTCAAGTACTTTTAAAGGAAGCAAGATAAGCATTTGTGCTGTGCGTGACCGGTTGTAAATCGTTTGCATATTTCGCAAGGATAAAGCAACATTATTTTCACCTCAGAGGGCCTTTCAATAGTCCTTATAGCTAAGAGAAAAAGCGAGAAAATACGTATTTTGCTAATGTAATCTACTCTCTTAAATATAAACTGTGCCATTCTCTTGATGTGATCAGCTTAATGAGCATAATAATCATCTTTCCTTTCAACCGATCACCGTTAACGAGAATCAGAAATAAAAACATTAAAGCCGACCACACGTTGCAATTTTCAAAAGGTCATGGGCATTTTAAAAATAATTTTTAAAAATCTCTATGATAAATAGTTTTGTGGTCTCCCGTTGAGTATGAGCTCACTGTGATTGGAAATTCGTGGGAATTTCTTTCTGCGAAAACTGCCCACCCACGAACATCGCAAAGGAAAACCTCATTTTATTTGGTTATTTGTCTTAAAGGAAAGGCCTCCCGCGATTCGGACAGATAAACAGTTTACTTTTCTGATAACACGGTCCGCGATTGTCAAATCTTCGCCATTGTGGAATTTACACAAAGATGTCTTCATGTTCCATTAACGTTTAAACGTCTGGTTGTCGGAATGCAATTGAATCACCGTAAATGATTAAATTTGGCAAAGTTAATTCAACTATGAATAAACCGCTAAGTAGTTTCGAAATTTTTTCCTGGTAGCCTGATTAACGTTTCAAACAAAGTGTTAAAAATCTTCAAGAATCCTCGTGAAATACTCAACTTGGTACACTTATTCAAATTTTTCTCTCTCTCTCTTTTTTTTTGTTGCAGGAAAACAAATGGCCCTATGGAATTTGCCAAAAGGTCTTGCGATAGGATCAAACATCATGTTTGATTTCCTCTCGAAACAATTGACGGCTTGTCAAAGGCAAGGAGCTATCTTTAACACAAAACAGCTCTTTACGAATCATTAGCGCAAAGCGAATTACAGTATTCCCCTATTATCAGATTTATTAGAGCTGTAACCAGCTTTCTCGCCCCTTAGAAGAATTAAAACATACGCTATGAAACTATTGGCATCGGGTTTAGCCGCCCTAAGATATGCAAATGATTTACAAGGGGGCAATTTAGAAAGGTCCGCAAAATACATTATGAGGGTGTTGCTGAAATACCTCGCGCAGGATTCCACAACATGAAATATCTTGGAAGTTGGCATAAATCGTAAGATACTCAGCAAATTACCAAAATAAGTCCCAGTAAATCGTGTCTGATTTGACTTACCTGTAGATCGTTGTAGTCGTGGTTGTAAAACGAGTAGGTAGAGTGTAGGTTAAACACATCACCTAACACATGCTTTTTGTCTGGAATCTGAACATCCCCGGTTCCTTCGCCAAAAGGGAAGAAATCCTTGAGAGGTACACTGCTCGCGCAGGCGAGAATATGCAAAAGGAGGCCGACTGAAAGCATGGCAGCGAATTGTACGATTCGCTTCTACTCTGAGTTCAAACTAGGAGCGCGTGGAACATCCGAAAAGCGCGCGAGGTAATTGTGTAAATGGACACTGGATCGATTTATGTGGTGATGAATGTAACTGGGGAGGGGCATTGTTTGCACACAATCAAGTTGACAGGATACAAACAAACCAACACTCATTAGTCCATTGACGCCAGCTTAGATGTAGTCCTCAAGTTTATTGAAAGGCTCAACGGAAAAATCAGTTGTCGCGAAATAGCGATGCTCTTGTCGCCAAAAGGTGTGATTATCTGGGATTAGTCGGGAGGGGAAGACTAGTAAAGTAGCCGAGTTCCTGTTTTGTAACTTAGTTCACTTCAATAGAGTTACAAACGACTGGTGCATACAAAAGGTCAGAGTAACATTGCGAAACGTGAGCGAATGCCGCAATAATAGTGAGAAATTTAATCACTTGGCTCCTTCTGTTTGCTCGATTCCATTTGGCGGTCTCTTCATTTCCGGTTGTTTTCCCCGAGTAAAAGATGAGTTGTTGACGATTTCAGTCACTCCTTAGGAGCGTAGAATTAACAGATAAAATTTTCGATCTCCTTTTAAACAAAGTGACCTCATTATGATCGACTGCATTAGAAGGCCTGCATTAGAAAGTGAAAATGCTTAAGTTTATCCATCTGGTCCTTTCTCTAGAGTTTTTGGCATTGTAATGCATACACTGGAACCGACTTCTGGTGTTGATTTGACAACATTAAGGTCATGTTGTGTATATCCGGTAAATTTCCTGTTAAAAAAGCGAATTTTGCGTTAACACTCAGCAAGTGTCGGATTCGAAGGGGCAGGTTGCTGGTTGCAGGTTGCGAAGGTGATGATATATCACATAACTAGCCATACGAAAATTTGTTTCACGGATATGCATTTAATCAAGTTATGTGCCAGCGAACTACCGCCTTCTATCAATTAAACGCACACCTCGCGGGTTCAAAAAACGTCAGCCTCTTGGGTAACAAACAAAGACGTATGTAAATTTATTCGCATGCGAGGACCGGTAGATATTGCCCGAACTAAAGGAAAAAAATGTGAGCGAACTATTCGTCAAGTGGTGGTAATCTTGGCCTTAAAGTATTTTTCGCAAGCGACAAGCACAGAGAAGACCATAAGAAAACATGTGGTTGTCAGACAAGTAGGTTACAATGGCGTCCTCTGTTTATGGGTCATCATGCATCCTCACATGTCAGTGACTTTTTATTCGATCAGACGGATTCTAGATTCTTCGCCTTCAGAAAAAACGCGTCCACGAGGAAAAGAAAAGAGATGGTAAGGAAAATCGAAGACATTATTCCAATATTCTGTGTTGGGCCTTGGGCGTAATTTATGTCCATCGCTGGTCATAGTCTGACCAGTAATTCCTTTGAACTTCTAGGCATGACATCGTAATTAAGTTGAGAGAACTTAATTGGTAATGAATCAAGATAACTCCCTCCTGTTTACAAGGTTACTTTTTTCGATTGTATGAAACATGTAGGTGATAGTCATGTCTGGGATACGAGGAATAACTAAAAAAAAAAAAAAAAAAAGGAAATATTATGAAAAATAGAATATATATCTAAATTAATTGATTAACAATGCAATATAGAAATAGTATTGGCATGGCAAAAGTATTTGCACCGAACAGACATCTACAGATGTCAATTTGTTGAATGCGAGTGCACGGCACAGCAATGAATCGTTAAAGAAAGTAATTTACCTGTTGGACTCTATGATCCTAAGGAAATGAAGAATTCATGGTTTGGTTGGTACTTTTTGGCAGCCTGTTAAAAAGACCCTTATTATTAGCGCTGTAGGACGCGCGTTTCTCCACACGCGGAAAGATTTCAGACGAATAGGTGAGAGGTTTGCTGGGAGTCTGGTATGTTCTTTCAGGACTAGAGCCTTTGTAAACCTCTGGCCTTTTCGCGTAGCTCAAGGTTTAATAATTTTTCTGCGGGAGAAGACTGGCTTATGCCAAAGCTTGGAAAGTCATTGTAAGGAGGTATTCTTTCACATCAAGAAATCCTGATGAAATCTTGTTTACATTATTTCTCGACCGGTAAGCTAACAGGATTAATATTGTCGATATTAGAATTTTCTAGAGGGGGTAAGTTTCTAAAGAAACTGTGGCGCTGCATGGGTGGGAGTGTAACAGGGTAATTAGTATTATCAACTTAGTTAATAAATTAAATTAGCCATCGTAAAGAGCTTAAACCGTACAGCTTTTAAACTCTCTACGATGGCCAATTTACTTTATAAACGCGGTTGATAATACTAAATTACCCTGTTAGAATTTTCTATCCGAGTTTTGCAGTACTGAAGTTACTGTTACTTAGACATATCGTTATTGACGAATTCAAACCGCTTATACGATTAAGTGATAGTCGAAACATCAGTCACTTCTGCCAACAACAGTTCTTCTCAGGACCACACTCACCTGAGCGATCAGACTACATTATATCACATGTTACCCCGGGCTTAAAGCGTTTACTGTAATAAGATTAAGGTGTCTATAAAATATATAATGTAGTCTGCATGTTAGACGAGTGGTTTTTCCCATAAAGGTCTGATCTGAATCAGTGGAATAAAAACATAACTTCTGGACAATAAACTTTCTCAAAGGGAACGAGAACTAGAGGTCCAATGTTTGTTACCCTTGTTGCAAGACCAGGATTATTGCATAGGTGACGCTATAAAATTAGCAATGTTCAGTGATTAAGAAATCACGATGTTTAAATGTCAATCATTGAACGAGGCAGGAACTGGAGAATATTTTCCTTTCATCCATAACGTCGAGAGACTAATATCGGAACCAAAGTGATCGCTTAAGGTTACTAACAGTTTCACCGGTACCTCCGCCAATGTCATCCATTGCATAATTTGTACTTATTGTAAAAAAAGCTACATCGGTGAATCAGGAGACGCTTAGGCTAGCGACGTCCGAGAACGCCTACATGAAGTAGGAAGGAATCAACAAAGACTCATCCAAACCAGTCGCTAGATATCTAGATATTTCAGAAAGCAGACGATAGGTGCCATGATCTTGTCTAAATAGCTGGAAATAATTTCAGTGGGGCAGTTATCTTATAGGCAGAAACGAAACTCCAGGTAGAAACAAGTTTTGATCAATCTGGTGCCATATTTGGCACAGGAAAGAGGGATGATAGATAAGATATTTCAGATCTCGGCAAAATAATGAGATTGTTGATTACATCGCGTTTCTAAGCCGTCCCCTGCGCTCTTTGTTTACAAATAGTTGCTTTTGTACAGCAAAAGGTATGATTTTTAGGCCTGAAAGTTGAATTGATTTTTGCGCAAGGCAGCAGACAACATGATCAACTTAAGGCTGTTCTGTAGGGACCTTAACTAGACAGGCTATTTAACCTTTACATCCCAAGATCATTATGCATACTCTCCATACTGTTCCTATACATTTCCTAAGTTCTTACAAGGAGAATTTATGAAACTATCAAGAGCTTTGTTAGTTGCTGATCATCTCCGTTATTCTCATGACTTCAAAATTTGATTCAAGGGATAGAATGTAAGGAGAAATTAGAACCTTGTCACTGTTAGGGATTAAAGGGTTAAGCCCGGACAAAGATTCTTTATGGTGGTTCCGATATCAATAAATGGTCCAACACAACGTAAGATTTTTCATCATTATAATTATTATTATTATTATTATTATAATTTATTATAACATCAGTTGATGTAAACATAAACAGGAGCCCATGGGCTCCTGGCATGAATTATTATTATAAATGATTCCTATCCTGAAAGAGGGTGGTTAACTTCCTATCCTGAAAGAGGTGGTTAACTTCTCGGGGTTATAGCTCTTTTCTCCAAAAATTCATTGAACGATCCTCCGCAAGTACGACTGCATTGTGTACAATATTCTGTCACGACAGCTCCTTTGCTGGACTCCTTAAAAAACAGAAAAGAGGGAAATTGGTATTTTTAATGCAGTTACAATAAAGATCGGTGATACAGTAGAGACCCTGATCTAACAAAAACAAACAAACAAACAAAAAAACACCATAGGATACTGAATGGCATATCATGAGGACAATGTCTCTTAGCGTGGCGGAAGTAAGGGGAGATGAGCAAATTCTAATTCTCTTAACTTGCTCCAACGCCTCGAATTCTTTTTAGTCTCATCCCCTGTCTTTACCGCAAAAAATTAAAGATTAGTCCCCAAAGAAAGTTCCCACCTTTTTATTCCTTTTTTCCTTCTCTCCCTTTCAGTTCCTTCCCCGTACCCATTACCCAGTACCCCGTACCCCGTACCCCGCACCTCGTACCCCGTACCCCATGCCCCCGAACCTAGTCCGCCCTCATACCGTCGGGCTCCTTAGTTCCACACCAGGTTTTATTCTTTATCAGTTGGGGTAAGAGAAAAAAAACCTCTGAGAATCACTTTATTAGTAAAATGAAAAAAAAAAGTCTTAAAAAATTTCCAACGATTAATTTAGCCACGGTAAGGCTTAGCACTGTTTGAAAAGAAATCGGCGGATTACGCAATAATTGTCAATGACAGAACATCTATATACGTAGCGAGTGTGTGCAATTTTCGGCTCTTATAGTGTTCTACGTGACTTATTATTAGAGAATGAAACAGTCGTATTCACCAAATGCAACATGTAGCCCCGCGATCAGGGAGACAATGAAAGTGAGGCAGCGCATCGGTGACTCATGCGTCACTATATTTCTAAGTCCCCCCCCCCCAAAAAAAAAAGTGAGAGTTGATCGCAAGTAAGGGTGACGAGAGGAAATATTGAAGAGTTTTTGTTTTCCTTTCACTTAATAGGCGGGTATGTAGCGTTTAAACTGGAGCTTACTGAACTGAAGTCTATCAAAGTTGGAGAAACTTTTCAATGTGAAGTCAGTGTAACACAGTATCATTTATCTGTTCAGGTTCTTTGTCACTATATTTATTACGGAGACTTACGAGGGTAAAAGTTGAAAACTCGAAT